ACACACACACACACACACACACACACACACACACACACACACACACAAACACACAAACATAAAAGGAAGAGCAGTAGTAGCACGCAAGTAGAATGCAGGCCATACATATCCAGCTCAGAGTGGGTCAGGAACGGCCTAATTGAAAGACAGCAAATCAAGGAGAAGACGGGAGGAAGGAAGACGGGGAGATCGGTGGGTGGAGAGGTGGAGGGTGGAGGAAAAGCGAGATTCATCAATCGACTGAGTAAACTGACATGACAGCGAGAGGGGGAGGGATGGAAAGGAAGAGGGGGAAAAAAGGGTGGGAGAGCAGTGAGGAGAGGGGAGGCGATGGACTGAATCTATTGTTAACAGGATGAAAATGAAGCATGCTTCTACTGCAGGCCACTCAATCCTGTGAAAGAGGAGGTGACAGTAGCTAGCAGTGGTTGCTACTCTGAAAACACAAAAGGCAACCTCCAGTCAGAGTGACTGTAGCGTTACAACAGCTTCTAGATCTGCTCTGACAACTAACAAATGATGTTCAGCAGTGATTTGGTGAAAGTAGTTCTTTTGTACTTTTGACTCTAAAACTTTCCTTTCAGGCTAGCAGGAGTAGCATTGTTTGTGCTTGTGTTGGGGATTTGTTGCTGACTTTCAAAACACCAAACAATGAATCAAGGAAATAATCAGTAGGTGAATCAAAAATCTAAATGTAACTGTATGTTAGCATCAGGCTATTGCCATTCATGTAGAGTTGGGCCATATGAAGGCAATCAAATAACACAATGTTTGACCAAATACGTCAATATTGCAATTTACATTATCGAAATTGCGACGATATTGTAGGGTTGACCACAGGTGCAACCTTTAAAACCAGGAAAATAAACACATTTTACCATATTACAATATCCAAAATCGAATACGCTATCTAGTCTCATATCATATATATTTCCCAGCCCAACATTAATGAAGCTAACGATCCAATTAATGGACTCACTACGTAGCAAGAAGACAGTTCTCACGGATAGGTTCATATAATCTATGGAAGCTGATGACCTGAATTTCACGTGGCAGCCAAAATAGATGCAAGAAATTAACCCTTTAAGCCATCCCACTGGAACTCTGTGACGCTTCCCGGTTGTTGTTGGAGTCATTGTCTGTTTGATGAGATAGCTGGTGAAGTGTTGGTATCAAAATAATGTGCAACATCAATCATTACGGTGATCAAAATGAGGCTTTGTGGAGGAATTATTCAACAGAACGTCCTCTTCAGTATATTCAGGGGCTGAGAACGTCAACTTTAAAGAGACATGTAGGCTATTGTGCCGTTCTGGTAAATACTAGGCGTCTCCACGCCTCTGCAGGTATGTCATCTGGCTTGATTCCTGCGTGTGTCTCAGTGTCAGTTTTTTCCGCTCTGTCTGTTCATGACGAGGCCCGTGTCTCAGCCCTGCCCTAACCATACCTGTTACTCCAACAGGACTCTGGGTGTGGATACACGTTGACAAAAGACTCGCCACCACCCAGCTACCAAGTATGGAAAATATGTGGTCCCTCAGTGGTACAACACACTACAGCTGTGCATCCGTTCTTAATGGCTGGCATTACTCTAGATATTTGTTATTGTCAACAAATCCCTTGAAAAGACCAAAATCAACAATGTGGTAGTCCATCTTTCAATACGTTACGACTTCTCTATGTTTGTGGAACTGAATCCCACGCCCATTTTTTTCCAAAGACATTTAGAAACTGGTTACAAATATGTGGTTTTGTGGCCTTTGATTTACTGCAACAGTACCATGGTTTTCAGCAAATGTAACTCAAACTAATTTCATACTGCAAGATGTAATATTTTAGTTCTTGGTATTGAAGAACCCCTGATGTGTGTTAGTTATTAGACAACAGTGGAGATGTCCTTACAAATTAAATAACTAAATGTCAGGCTTTGGCTACACGGGGAATACTTCTACATCGTTATCATCATCATCATCATCACCACCACCAATTCATTGTTAATTTTGGTCTAAGTTATAATCAGCTATAACAGCAATCATAAAAGAAAACTTTGCAAGCAAACACATAAGCTGCAATGTAGGATGCTGCTGACTCCCATAGATAACATTAATTCCCCTAAAGCAAGTATTCTCTCTCTCTCTCTCTCTCTCTCTCACACACACACACACACACACTCACACACACACACACACACACACACACACAGGTTGTCGCAGTACAGCCTGGACTGACCGGCAAACTCGTCCTGCAGCAGCTGGAGTTGCCAAAACCTGACTGCTCTACTCCATAGCAACAGTAAGCAACAGCCCACAGACAATACCGTAGGTCATTCAATGCGGGGGGTCTGTGTGTGTGTGTGATTAATGTGTGGGTGCCTGGGCGTGATTGTGCGTGTGGTAAACGTGTGGAGGAGCAGGAGACGCCTTTTTTTTTTTTTTCTTCAGCTTTGCATCGGTGATGATATTGTGTGATCGGCGCACTATAGCCGACAGTGAGGAGAGAGGTGACATTATGAAGCCACACTGGCTATGGTGATAAATACAGCGGGTGCAGGACAGCACAGCTGCAGAGTGACCCCTATACATTACAGGCGTTTTGAGGGGATGAAGCTCTAACACAGAAACTGACGAAGGCAACCACACCTTGAACATAAGACAGGAACAATCACGAGCCTTTAATTGACTCTGTGAACCGCATACATGTGGGAGTCGCATAACCAAGACATTTCTACTGAAGAAAAAAAAGACTAAGTATGATTATGACAAAAAGATCACAGTAGGCCATTACCTATTAATTATTTGGGTCCAAATCCCTTCTATCGTGGCCATTAGACAGACACCGTTTTCCTTGACTTCAGGTCTTCTCGATGTTAACATAAACATAAAGATCAGACCAGTATGAACGCCTCTAGTCCCACCAAACGTTTCATTTTTAGGCGTAAAGCCACCGCATGTAGCTTGACCAACCTAACGAGGCTAGCCAGCTCCACTGAAATATGACACTTTCAGGATATTACACTGGCTATTTACGAGTTGGATTAGATTAAAAGGCAATTCAATGTCTCACCTTCAGGTTCCGCTTTGAGTCGTGGGTAAGGCTGCGGTGCTAGGAGAGCAGGGTTGAGGTTGTTTCGTGGGTATTTTCCTGCCTGATAGGTGTGTAGCCTACCGCATATGCGGCTTTTATCATTGCACCGCTCTCTCGGTGGAGCCGCACACTTCTCGATGAGAATAAAACAGACAGCAGTGGGGGCAAGGCGACGGCTTCAGTTCAGGACACTACTTCCTGCTAGGGGACCAATCAGGTGCGAGGAGACGGCTTTTAGTCAAGCCTCAGAGGGAAATACGTCCAATCAAAAACTACAACTGAGCAGTATACCCGCCTCATGAATACGACGGGAACTTTCCGCCCCACGACTGGCATGACACGCGAGCGGCGACGAATGGTGTTAACGGCAGTGCAAGAATATCCTCCATTAGCCAATGCTAACGGCCAAGAGGCGGGGCTAAGTGTGACTGACGTGTCAAACAGCCAACCGGAGCGCTGCAGCAGGTGCCTGTGCGGCACTCTCGCGCTAGAGTAGGGAGATTTGCGCGCCCTTTGTTTACCACTCAGTGGAGGCGAGTGTCCGCAGACACAGATCTGGGATCGGATTTGTGAGAATCCCCAATCAAGCGCAACCGACGGTTTGCTTGGTATGATCTGACTCCAGGCGCGTGATTCAGATCATACCACAAAATCCGAATGAACCCGAGTACCCGAGGTGCAGAGGGTTCTGGCCTCTCTGTAAATATTTACACCAATATAAAATATCATTGAGTCAGAGCTTAATCTTCTGAAACGTTTTATATCAGCCATGATTCTAATGTTTTTTTTGTTGCACTTCTCAGGTAGTTTTCTTGGGCTACACATATTTAGAAATGACCATTTGACAAATAATGGCAGACTATAGGCCCATGTAATGTTTTTTTTTTACATAACATATAGATTATAAAGATTATATGCTCATTATAATTTTTTGCACATGGTGGGGGTATATTCTTCTGATTTATCAACAGTTTTACTGAAGCGTACAGGTCATTTTGACAACACAAAAGAAATCAAAACTTAAGAAATCAAAAGTTATACAATTCTGTCATGAATAGATTTATTTACATCAGAGGGGTTTTTAACATTCTTCCACGTTCCAGTAAAAAAATTAAAATTGAATTGGTTGGTTAAGGTTTAGGTTTAAGTGGTATTCTGTGACAGACAGGACCATCAGTGTAATATACGTATAGTTGTGGACATTACACAGGAAAAAGAAAGTCGACATTCCTTCTGTGACAAAACAAGACTTGGTCATTTAGTTTGTGTCTATACGCAGCCAGGAAATTGTAAGAGTGAGGATGTTATGAATATAATCTGCATCCACGTGTTCTTATACATTTTGTTGAAAAAATTAGAGCACTTCAATGTAAATACAAAAAAGTTGATAAGTAAATTACACTTGCCACCTGGACGAGATTTTATAAATGGTCAGTAGACGTGACCCGCGAGCTACGCAGAGAATAAATAAAGAAGCAACCAAAAATTGCAATTCAATCCCCGTGTTTTATTTGCTCTACAACACAGTTCAGTTTCATTTTGAAGTGCTCTGTGCCTGAGGCAGTTCTGAAATTACATTTCAGTGTAAGAGGGTTTATCTTTCTCTTTAGAAGTTTAACATATAAAGGTAGCTACAGCTTTTACCTCCAGGTATATGTAGTATTACAGTGTACTATGTTTTTTTACACTATGCATATTATAAATAATATGATTTTAAAAATGTGTGCACTGCGGGGAAGTGAGTTCTAAACAACCAGTGAAATGACCAAATAGTCCATCTGTCTATTTCTTTCTGGGGTTTTTAAAAAGCGCTATCGTAGTTAAGGTGATGGTGCAGTATGTTCAAGTTACAAGTGGAGGCAGGGTGAATGACATGGCCCACCATGCAGCCTATGAATAGAACATGGAAGCCATAAAGGAGAAGTGTATGGGAGGACGCAAACATAAAACAGCATTAACACTAATTGTAACAGATAATATGTTAACAGTACCTCACCCCCCGAGCTTACTATAAAAAAAATATTTCAATAACTGAAGTGAAACACTGCAAATGATGCTTTTAAAGTTAGCATGTGCTGATCCAGCAACACCACTGTGCTGTTGTAGAGCTTCATTAGTGATATTAGTCTCCATATAATACTTAAGTGCAAAGTACAAAGAACAAGTTCCCAGGATGTGCATTGGATAAGCTGATTATTGGGCCTGACACTCACATGTACCAATACCTTCTATAATCAAACACTTAAATACTCAGGTGGCATAATTGACTGCAAATCATTACAGGATCTAAAATAAACATTCCAAGTGCTTTGTAATATAACTACAAAGTGCAACTATTATAATCTACAATATAATACGGCTAAAAGCCTCTTTATGTTGTCAGTGCATGTTCATATTGAGACTACTCAGTTACAGAGCAGATTCACAGCATAGACATTTTTCTCCTTAGAACAACATCCTGCAAATGTTAAAGTGATTGAAAAAAAACCAAACCTCTCTTGCATAAGTAGCATTATGCAAATACACACAATAAAAATAGCTTTAAGCACATTTCAAATGTGAAATTAACTGCTGCAGATGAAGAGCCAGTTGCAAAATATCTGGTTTGTTGTGAAGGCACCACTCAATACACTGTTCTCACAATTTGTGAGAGAAACCAACTGTAACACATTAGAATTAGAGTAGGGTGTCACACGACCTTATGGGCACAAAAATACAGAATCATTTGTATGACCGTGGTGCAGTTTCCAGTTTAATCCATGTCCGTCGGTGCAGATGTTAGACCGATGTTTTATTTCTCAGAGATGCAGACACGGCAAGCCATCATCACAACATCTCTTCCACTCAGTTCAGTTATGTTCAAGGGATGTTGGAGGTGAGTTTAGGCCTTCTGTGCAGAGTCACTGAGAGCAGCCCCTCAAACCTTGGATTCAGTCCGAACCATCTTCAAAGTGCCAAGACACTCAGAAGATTACAATGTCATAGCTCAGTCGTGAAGTACTACAATCCAAAAGCAACAGAGCAAAACAATACAGAGTGGTTGAATTTAGCAACGCCGGAGATGAGAAGATACTGTAGATCACAGTGCAAGAAAGAATGTAGAGCAATTAGCTTATCTGGACAGAGCTAACATCATTTGTCATTGTGTATCACTGCAGTAGTTTAGAAACACTACAATGCGTCCTCTGCCATTCAACTCAACACGTTAGACTAAATGAAGCAAATGTTACAATCAGTGAACAATGTTTTTTGAATGACACATAGAAAAAAAAGCCAAAAAAACAAACAACATGCAATGAAAAACATGGAAAAAAAAACTGCTCAAAATCGCTGCTAGTTTTCAGCAGTTTCTCCATGTTCCTGTTGCTCTGCTTTGGCTCTACAAGTAGCCTAGCCTACTACTCCACTACATTATCAACAGGCCCCACCAAGCTCGGACTTTCACAAAATGTTCACTATCCATACTTACCATACGGAAATAAAACATTCACATTTTAAGTCAGCATCATAGTGGAATACATCCCTGAGTTGTACCTCAGAAGGTACACTACCCTGGCATCATACAAAAGCCACCTCAAATAGAGGTAAAAAGTGTCCACCTATCAGTTACGTGTTAGAGCCACCATGGGGTGCTGTTGTATATTCTGCCAGTCAGGCATTAGAACCAGATGGGCTTGCTGTGGCAGTGATGGGCCAGAAGTGAGACTTAGCAGATGAGTTTTAAATGATCTTGAAAGATTGCCAGGACCAATCAGACAACATTAGCCAGTGGAGTAACCCGTCTCTACAAAAGACTGACCCCAAACCTCCTACTGTCTCCCTATCTGTCTACTTCCTTTATATTTCTCTCTGTAATCCTATCTGCATAGTAGGACTCATCTAAATCTTTTAAGCGTGTCTAGTGACTTGCTTCTAGTCTGGACTTTCTTTTCTGTCCAATCACTGTAAACAATATTGCTTCCTATCCTTTGTCCTGACACTGGCCCTATCTACTGTTAATCCTGTCTCACTTGGTCTGCCCATTCATACCTGCCTATCCCTTTCTTTTTGCCTGTTCTTCCTCTAAACCACTGGGTTAACTTCCTGTCTCTTTTAACTTTAGGCCTCCTATTCCACAGGTTCAGTTGTAGTGGAGATGTTCTGCCAGGGATTGCCTTCGGGTCATTGGGGAGGGACACTCAGGGTCTTGGCCAGGCTCATCATCAGGGGAGACGAGCTGCAGAGCGACTTCGTTCTCATAGCAGAATGACGAGCGTGAGCTTTGAATGTACTTCTGCTCGGCCAGCTCTTTAGCACTGCATGAAGGTGTGTTTGGGATTTCATATGTCCGATGGAAGAACGAGTAGTCCACCTGGAAAAAGTGCAGAAGAATTTTACACACATTATTATAAGATAAGAGCCTTTAGCCATGGTAATGGCTCTGTAAGGCTGTATTTGGGTTTAGCTATGCTTTCAGCTAAATGCTAACGTCAGCATGTATACATGTTCACAGTGTACGCAATGCTAACATGCTGATGTTTAGCAGATTGTTGTTTACCATGTTCACTGTCTTACTGTAGCATGTTAGCATTCTTTTTTTCATTTGCTAATTAGCACCAAACAAAAAGTACAACTGAGGCTGATAGGAATGTCAGGTTTGCAGGTGTTTGGTCATTAACCAAAGTACTCGACTTATTCCAATTTTGAGCTAGATGACAAGTCAGGGGATCACCAGAGTCATTGGGATACATTGTGTGGTGACCATGAATGCCTGTACATATCTGTGCCAATCAAGCCTTAGTATATGTACCCCTCCAAACTACAGTGAATTAATGGAAACCACTTCAGACACAGCATTAAGGGAAGGAAAGGATCCATATTATTTCTGTACATATCTCCATCCTTCCTTTCTGACCTGGTAGCAGTCTTTCCTCTCAAAGAGCACTGGTTCAAATCTGTGTCCCCAGAGTATTTCAGAAGCCAGATAGGAGCTACGGCACTGTGTGGTCATGGCTGTGGCCTCCACCATGCCCTCGAGTATGACCACCACCTCCAATTCATAGTCATTCTCCAGGGACTTTCGGTCAATCTCAAAGAAGGGTGACTCGTCGTTGATCTCGTGGACAACTGTCACTGGCGATACCAAGAAGATGCGGTCGATGCCAGTGTCAAAACCCACGTTGATGTCCATATTGTCCAATGGGAGGAACTCTCCCTCTTCTGTCACCCTTGGCTAAAGTTGGCAATGGAAAGTAAAATAAAGTCACTATTTAATATATTAAACATTCCACATTAGATGTTGTGATGTTGCAAAAATTGATTTTCACATGAGGGATTTTATTAAAAGGAGACTAGCCAAAGGCAGGCAAAACATGATCAAGTAAAGTAAAATGCAAATGTGGCTATACAATGCAACACAATGGTATAGAAAATAGGGCATTCATCTGTCATCTTTAATATTGTAAATGATGACACCATTTCCTAAGGTCATTTAGACATTAAATGTATCACGCTGACCCAAAACCTTAGCATTTGGTTATTATATTCAGAGTAATTTGACTATGGAAGTTTTTAGTCATACCACCCGTGCATAGGCTTATCACTCACCCAACCCTTACTATGGAACAATATCCAGTCCCAGCGTTTAGAATTGCATTCCTTTGATCCTCGTAAACTTAATCCCATCTGCCCTGTCTGAACTTTGATATGGTCATGCAATTAAGGGAGATCATTGAGAACATTGCTGTAGCCCCAATGTTCCAAAGATTTTGACCCTTCGACAACTCAGCAGACACATGTATAAACACACCACAGGACTGTTGACAACAAAACATTCACATAAACAGGAAACATGTTTAAAACCACCCAAATAAGGCCAGTCAGAAAGGTAAACATAAGCATACAGTACAATCACCTAACCCACATACAGCCCACATGAAGGAAAATGAGATGACGAAGGACAATGGTTCTCAGTTAAAGAATTGTGGGCAAGTTAATCCATGGTAAATCTTCCTAGCCCCTGAGGGAAAATAAAACAAGCTCTCATTAACTACGGCCCACAGAATACAGGCCAGATGGTCTCAGAGCTCTCTTTCTCTCCTCTACTGCAACCTTTTTTCCTCTACCGCTAACACTCACAATAGCAACCTATTTTTTGATACAATCATTCTGTCTTTCGGTCTCTTTGACCTTTTTCTCAAAAACAGAAAGGTTTTTTGTTCTTTTTATCATTGCCAAACGTTCTGACCTCTTTTTTTCTCATCATGGTCATTATCCATCTCCCCCACTTACCTTCAGTAGTTGTGCTCGAACATGTGCCTCTACCAGGTGGCTCTTGCGTAGGTTTGCGACCCTCCACATCATGCAGAGTTTCCCGTCCCTCAGCGCCACCACTGCTGTGTTGGAGAACACCAGTGTCTCGTTGCGCTTCTTGGGCTTAGCAATCTTTGCCATTATTGCCCCGATGATGAAGGCGTCAATAATGCAGCCCACAATGCACTGCAAAACGACCGCCATCACCGCCAGGGGACATTCTTCGGTCACGCTCCTAAAGCCATAACCGATGGATGTCTGAGTCTCCAAGGAGAATAAAAAGGCCGCCATGAAGCTGTTTACTTGCAGGAAGCACGGCTCCTCAACCACTGCCTGTCTATCAGACTCTCCTCCAGACCCGGCCTCTCCTGATCCCGGAGAGGAACCTGAGCTGGGGGTAAGCCGAATGGAGAGGTCCCCATGCACAGAGGCAATCAGCCAGAAGGCAAATCCAAAGAGCAGCCAGGAGAGAAGGAAGGAGAGGGTGAAGATGACCAGCATCCAGCGCCAGCGGATGTCCACACAGGTGGTGAAGAGGTCGCTAAGGTAGCGCTGGCCCCTCTCGCTCATGTTGACGAAGGTGACGTTGCAGCGTCCGTCCTTGCCAACAAAGCGTTGTCGGGGCCGGCGGCTTGAGCGCCTGGTGCGCTGGCGGTTGTTAGTGGAGGGGGAAGAGAGTGAATCCTGGTCTGAGGATGAATGGCCTTTTCCTCTTCCTCCTACACTATTGCCTCTTCCACTCCTTAGCCCTGAGCACATTCCTCCTGCTTTCAGCCCACCTTCTCCTGCATCTCCCCCAACTCCAATGGCACTCTGCCCCTGTGCATTGTTGGTGTTGCTCTGGAGAGGTAGAGTTTTGCCGTTCAGGGCATGGGTAGGGGAGGGGCTGGTTGGGGTCCCTGACCCTGTTGGACTAACCCCTGCCCTAGCCGTATCTGCAGCACTCTGTGCCAGCCTCATGATCTCCTCCTCCTCTACTGGCCCATCCACCACAGCACTAAAGCGGCGTTTCACACGTGCCGCTCCCATCATGTACTATAATGTCACCTTTTGCTTACGGTACTCCGTATTCCTCAGTGTGCCTTGATTTGATTGTTGATGTGGTAATCAAGCACCTTGACAGTTAACACAGGCAGTCTTTTAGTCCTTCTTAAAGAAGAGATAATTGTAAGTCCATCATGGCGAATGGTAACCAGAGGATAATTTCCTCCCAGACCGCTAATCAGTCACTTATTTTCCACACTTTCAATGATGATTCCCAGTAGAGTCTATCTTTTCAGTGATAGATCCCTCAGCCAATAAAGTGGGCTTTCTTGAAGTAGGTCCACAGGGTGCATTCATTAACCAATGTCCTTAAGTCATACTCACTCTGGGAGTTGAGCTGAAAAGAATGTCAGCAGCAGCCCAACGAGTCTATTTCTGTGACCCCCAGTTTGCAATAATTATTTTGACAAGGAGTAGTAGGGCTGGATTGACCTCAACAGACAACACAAAAGCATGCAAGATTGGTTCTGTTTAGTTCAAAACAATCAAAGGGAAGCCTTGAGCATGGATCTATTGATAAAAGCTATAAACTGATAATGCAATGGAGAAGAAGGATGGAGACATGTAAAGGATATATAGCTCGTTACAGGGTACCTTCTATAATATTGTGACAAGATGCATCCAAGACAGACAAATGCTCCAAATTAACTTGGGGACGATATGATAATAACATTTCCAACATGCAGTCGAAAAATAAAAAAAGAAACATGCCAATTCTTACGATCAAAGTTCTCTCCAGTTTCACAACCCCTTGGCATGGGCATGAAGAAACAAAGAATACAATACTTTCAGTACATCAAACGCCTACTGTCATCATTGTTCATAAATAATTCAGTGCTAATATTTCTTTCATAAAGATTTGAATAAGTGTTAAGTTGCAGTTGTCACCTTTGCCCAACAAGAGGGTCCCAACTGAAATAACGTTTTGTTTGCCATTTCCTGTTGGATCATGCCACTGCTTCAACAATTTGCCATTTCCTTTTTAAGGGTCGGCACATCTGTTTGATGGCCATTGTCGAATTTGTTGAAGACTTGTTTTAATAACTGAATAATATTGACCTGAACTACATGGCTGTTAGAAATCACCCGCAACAGTTCCTCAGACCAGACATACCTCATTACAGTTCAGCATTACGGCTGACAAATCACCTATGCCTGACAAAAAATAAGAAGGGAGGAAAAGAAAAGACAGAGTTTATTTGATCTATCTCCAACTATACTTGTGTTTTAGCTTTAAGCAGAAGATGCATATGGAGGAAAAAGGCAAGTACACAGGTCACCTGAGGAAGTTTTCTATATTTCTCTGGAGGTCCGTCTCCAAAGCAGATAGATCAGGTGTATGCCACAGAAGGAGAAGAGCTGAGAAGTGCTCAGAGCTAAAGTGGCTGAGAGTTTAACTTGGTTTGTGGATTGTAGACTCTTACTCATCATCTCTGTTTGAATCAGATCACAAAAGACTACCTGAACATCAGAGATAGTTTCCACAGACAAAATAGAAGATTATCCAATGCAGATGCAATGTGAAAATAACACATGAGAATAACTTTAAAGTGCAACATAAATACTATCCGAGAAATGTGCAAATATATCTGGAAATGAAAAGGTATGCCTTTAGAGCTTACCTTTCCCAAACATTTCCAGAGACCTCTACTGAATCCTGTCAAGTATACAGAGTATCCACATCCTCTTTGGAACAGTAGACAAAAAGAAACCCTCAACAGTAGCCCTGCACTGGGGTGAGTACAAAGAGAACTGCAGAAATAGACAAGCGCTACTGCGCTAACTGTACAAATATAGAAGAAGCCATTTCATTCAGCCAGTAACAGCAGGGTAGGAAAACATCTACAACAAATGGAAATGGGGAAAGAGATCCCTCCTGAAGTGTGAAGTGACATAAGGGTTCATCTTCGCTTATGTGTTGACCTCTCTTTATGACACATGTTCAGTAAAAGCATTGAGCTTCGTGAGAAAGTCAAGGAAAGCGTTTGTTTTTGATTGTCTTTACAGAGATGTTGGTTGTCTGTTTGTATCCCTTTGGTTTAGGACCTTCTTTTTTAACACACTGCCAGTCTTGAGTAGAAATGAGAACAAAAAAAAGAGAATGACAATTAGATGGCAAGGTAGAAATAACAAAACTGTGCTGAAACAGATAATTAAGTAGTTATCTTCTTGTCTCAATAGAAATGATTCTTAAAAGCATTAAAAGCATATATTCACACGTGTATCGATTCAAATCTTAAGTAAGCTGAATATGATAAAATTCTAAATGGATGGTGATCAGAAACAATTTGTAGTGTACCTCTTAGGAGTCTTTCATGCAGTCCTTGAGTCGTTATTTCATCGGTCAAATATTGTGGAGTTATTCCTTCAGACGGCCTTAATTTGAAGAACCAAACTCTATCACGACACAGGGAAAAACGTCACCCAAATGTACCCCTGTGAAGAGAAACAGAGAAAAATAATGAAGTCATTTCCCATTAGTATCTTCCGAAAATCATTTGGGTACCTTTCCGACAAAAAACAGTGTCTGAATATGGACTGAACCGCAGCGCCCTCATTTTGGGTCAGGAAACCAAGTGGTACAGGGTGAGTAATCTTTTATAAATAAGCAATAGTGGATTTAAGCCAATAGACTGGAAGAATGGGAGGGGATTTTCTTGGGCAAAGGTTGAGACTGGGATTGTAGCTCAGTTGAAGGACTGAGATAAACCGGGACTCTGGGTAGGTTCAGGGTGAAGAGGTAGTATGTCTTGCTGTGGAGATGGTGATATGCTTTGGATTACAGCTGCACCCTGTGACTTTGGTAATCTCAACGATGGTTTTGCTAATCCTTTGAGGACTTACGTAAGAGCCACTATTGCCATAGAAGGTGGCAAGAATATCTATAAACACGCACAAGAAATGTAATGGCATTTACAGGATTTGAGATAATATAGGAAAAAGTAGTATAAGTCACCGAATCTAATGACACCATTCACAAATTATGCAGACTTATATATGTTTACCCTGAGTAAGTAAAAACTGATCAATACTTTGATTCATGCTCCTTGCTTTTGCTATACTTTACTACAATCGTAGATATAACCACATGTTCCACTTGGATCAATAAATAAATAATGTAGAGCCTCCTTTTGGCCAGAGTAATTAAAATACAATCTGCTGCATAGTTGTCCACTGATGTGGTGGACCATAATGCATATACGGTGTTATGGCACTGCTGCCTGAGAGCAGAAATGACTGATTTCATACATGAAATTCATGTATAACTCCTCAGATCCATCTCTTATGCTATTCCTGCTGTGGCCTCAGCATTGTGAAAATACCATGAAGTTGAAAAGAATGCATGCCGTACCAGGATTTATTGGGTTCAACTAAAATGCATCAATATGATAAATGAACTACTTAGGCGTGTATTATGCTGCTAAAAGTAGTAAAATTGGGGGGGAAAAATGTATCATACCTTCATAGACAACACAAATGTTGGAACAATATCAGAACTGAACTCAAACTGAACCATGTGGTCTTTTAAGGTCTTACTTTCCACAAAATGCCAAAGACAGACTTTTTCATGCTTGTGTTTCTCAATGTTCAGTTAATGAACAAAATGTGTGATGACGCAGTCCTGACCTTGAGGCCTCTACTGTAGGTCCTGCCAACTCTACCAAATGAACACGCTCTCACGTCTGCTATCTCTAAGATTGTGTTTAAGTGTCGCCGGACAACCGACGACAGTAGCCAGAGGAGGTGATGAGGGAAGTGTGTGTCTATAGGCATTGTGAGGGTACACTTGAACTTGTGTGAGCAAACCTTATCCTAGTGAGGTGGCAAATGTCTCAAATAACTTGTGTCTGGGAAAACTGTGCATGTGAAGTTGTTGCTTCACACTGTCAGAGCAGCATCTGATCTGCAGTCCTGCCTTATATGATAAAGGCTGAAATATGTTATGGGACCTCTGTTTGGGGGTCCCTTAACCAAAGACCAGCGTCTGGTACTATACTGTAGGAACAGGTTATAGGTTATTCATATTCGCTATTTACTTGAGTTCAGCAAGATAAATGCAATGACGTTGGAGAATTTCTGCCGCTGTATCGACCGAACAATCAATTGCTTAATCAAGAAAACAATCTGCAGATTAATTTTGATGTAAATAAGAAGTAAGTTGCAGCTCTGAAACCATTCTATAATATTTTGTGTAGCATGCAAACTGGATGGTAGTTTAGAAAGCAAACTACCTAGATTATAACATAAGACCCTGTTTATGCAAATGAAAGTGACACAACACACATCATTAAGTATAAACAACATGTATAGACAGTAACTAAAACACATTTCAAGGTTGTTTCAAACAGCTTGAAGAAAAAGAGCTAAGTTTCTCCTTTACGTCTTTCAGATATGGGGGTGTTTTTATAACTAATTAACATTAGTTACTAATTACCACTGATGACGAATGGATGAAGTCTTTTTGGGGTCAACAATACAGTCATAGCTGGTTAACACTTCTATTAAATCTATTAAAAGCCACTCTGCACTCCTGTGTATTTAGTACCCCCAAAATGCCATAATCATTATCAACTAACTCATTTGGACTTGTAGACACATCTACATAAATTGAACAAACATCATCAGCATAAAATAAATCTTATGCAGAGTATGTAATCTTCCGGCAGCAGATAAATGGTTGCATAGCAAATGCAAATAAAACATTGACTGGACAGCATCCATTGGCAAAATGATAACCTAAGCCAATTGTTGAAAACATAAAACAGCTAATGTGCTTTATCATCCAGGGTTTGTGAATTATTTTAAAATAGCCACTGACCACAAGCAGCTGTGGGACTTCACACACAATGTTGTTGAAGCCAGTCTAATTGTATTGAATTAGCAGGGATAGTACATTAACCCCCCAGAAATTACAGAAAACCTCCACATTAATCCAATTCCACTACCAATCTTTTTCATTGTGGGTCTCCCACCATGTATTCTCTCTCTCTTTCTCTCTCTCTCTCTCTCTCTAGCACCTCCCCTGTCCTCTTTCTATCCAGATTATCCGACCATATTAAGGTGTTATGTGGCCAGATTAGATTTGGACGGAATATGATTGCAGTGTCATTGAAAAAGGAACTGAATAAGTTCAGTTCTTCCTTTTGTCACTCTCCTCACCAACCATGTCACATGTCATCTGTCCTATTTCCTGTTCAATCGTTCCAAAAACAACAGTTTTAGTGAAACAATGTTTACAAAATAATGTTGCTCTTCATGGCATATTTAATGCATTATTACATTTGACTGGATGGTTTCATGATGGGGAGTTTAATAAACACTGTGGATGCAGTGTATAGTAAAAAAAACCTGAATAATGACGCTCTGCAATGCAATGCCACAATGCAAATGTGGAGACATCGATACTTGTCATTGATCTACGGAGGTTAGAAACCAGGGCACAGACTGGATCTCTCTATCAGTGTCACATGGCTCTCTGTCTCAGGCCTATTCTCTACATCTCTTTCATTTCAGACATTATCATTTTATGAAACTTTACTTTACAAGGATTTTAATAATGTCTAATGTGTATAAAGGCGCTACTTCAACAGCTGTCGCAGCTGTGCATATCAAACAAATACGCTGCAGTGACCTTTTGCTGAAATCCAATCTGATCAATACTGTTCTAGTGAAGTGTTGATCTGGTGACATCATTCGTCATCATTGCAGGAGCTGCAACACCAATTCACCAACCAGTAATGGATGTTATGCCATAACTGCACATGAGGTGACATTTTCACAATGGTGTCAATATTTGAAAAATGTGCACGTTTATATATTTTTAAAACTTTGAAGTTGATGGACCATTCATGTTTGCATGTTTTTTCTTGTTGAAACATTTGACCACATTCCAGCCAGCCACTGGTTTCAGTTTGATGTAGTTTAGAAGTGTGTTATTCTTAATTATAATGACCACAAAAAGTGTAGATGAATTGAAAATGTATGTCACGAAACAAAGACAATTATAGTTTTGAGCATGCAGTACAATCTGATTGTGTTTGGTTATTTTGTTACTCACTTACCGTAACCATCACTACATGCCTAACCCAAACACTCGCCCTCGCCTAAACCTATCTCTAACCTGAACCCTAAAACCAAGTTCCAACCCACAAACGGCCCTTTGAAGTTCGGTCCTAAAGTAAGGACTGACCAGACTCAAATTAGTGCTCACAAAAATAGATGTACAAGTACACACATGCACACACATCTGATAATAAGCACAAGTGCGGTGTCATCTTGGCACTGAGGCTTATTCCATCTAATTGAAACTTTTCCGCGGCGGCCCTCCCTCTGCTGTGTGCAGTGATCGAGGTCATTGTGTGATGACGACTGACTGTTAATCTGGGGAGTTAAGATGGTGTGGTTTGGTTAAAACTCTGCATAACTCTTTTTCTAATTAAGAAAATACTCAGAACATTGAGAAATATACAATCAAGACTAATTAGATTATTTAAATTAGACCAAACTTCATTACTTTTTAAAGATTTCTGCTACTTCTTTAGAATTATTCCCATTCAGTTACACCATCTTTACTCTGTAAATGGGTGCACTGTCATGGTGGCTTCCTGCCTAATTATTATATAGAAACACCGTTTACCTATTTAGAAAGTCAGTTTCTATATAATGCATCCCGCTGACCTTTCTCAAAGGTACTATCTATTACTTAACTTTAATTGTTGTGCTAGATTGCATTACAATACGTAGATGTTTCAGTTTTTCTAGTTATCCAGTGTAAACTTTATGGAAAATAATCCCAAATTCATGGTGCCCCCTGCTACTACAAAGATCACTAGTCCCCAGAGATCTCCCCGAAATATTCTGCAAATGCATTTAACATCCTTTTGGAAGTGGAAAGATGGGCTTGAGAGTAGAGTTTGATGTTGTAGTGCCATTGTTCCAGTCTTTAAGGGAAGCCTTTGTCATATTTGGAAAAATGCCACATGCGGAAATCAGAGCAAATGTCGTGAATAAAAGGACACAACTATGGTGCGGTCAAATGCAATATTGGTGTACCGATAGTGTGACAGGGAAGGTTTGCCAGAAATATGCTATCGAGTTGTATTATGGAAGGTGTAGGATCCAGGATTTTTGGAGCTTGACCCATAAAAGGGACTAAATGCAAAACATCTTGGCCTCTGTGTCATTTACTTTGTCCATGTCTTTTTTTATTTTTTTTTATCCGTCACTCTAATGTCCCCTAATTTTATGAAAGTGCAACACTAAATTGCTAGAGTACTCTGTAACACACCCTGTTATTTTGAATTATGATTACCTCAAAACTATATCAACACTAACAAAGATAGCATGTTGGGTTGTTAAGGCTTGATTTATAATACAAATCAGGTCTCACAAAAATGGAACCATGAGCACCTTTTAAAAGCTCAGAATCAGCTAGAGGAGAAACAGCTGTCATTTTATAATCCTGCACTTTTGTCCATCCTCTGTACCCATGCATGTGGCTCTCTGAAAAACCCTCAGCAATGTCTTGCCATCCAATTTAAACTCATGTAGGCCTACTACCTACAGCACATTCTGCAAAAAAACTGCAAAAGAGCATCCTTTGTTGTTTGTGTTTTTCTCTCATTATAAACCTGTTTCAAACAGTTCACACAACTCACACAACCAAAAAAGGATTCAAGTCTCAATCATCAGGGCAAATCAAGCTCTCATCTGCTCAGTACTCTCTCTGTCAGTGCTTCATTGTTCACTTTTCCCCCAACAGTAACATATTTTGATTTTTTCCCCCTCACCCTCCAGTCCTACATAGAATAAATTAAGGTCAAATTCACTAGATTTTAATGCAATTCTTAACATTTCCACCACGTTTGAGCATCCTTTTGGTTAATCCTGTTTATGTAAAGAACCATAACCTGGGCCCACACCCACTCTACACTAAACTAAATTCATATGTTACATAAATAGCATACCAAAATGTTTCTAACTGCATCACCTCTGTCAGATGCTTTTCAGAATAAAATGAAGGCTAGGAGTTCACACTTTTTAAAATTCCACTTCATGTTCTCGGGTTGCTTACGGAAAACACAAGATGCTGTAGATAAAAAAATAAAAAAAATAATTTTCGAACCAAAAGTGATGCTTTTACAACTTCTTGCACAGATAAATTCAATCACTTACCAGCCGTTGCCATTTTTTCCTCCCGTTAATTCAGCGCGAGGTGACGACGTCAGTTTACTTCCAGTCCCTTCTTTAACAGAGTTACTGGTGGTCTATACAAAAAAACACGGATTATAAACCGTGCTCGAGCTGTCCCTTGCTATCGGTCCTGGCAACTGTCCGCGAGCCCTCAGGTGGTGTATGAGCGCCCACACGTTGCGACGCTATCTGTCCCCAATCAAAGGCACGCGCCTCTCTGGACTGCCAGAGTGACCTTCTGACAACATCCTGTGTGATTCATCAAGGTTAAATTACAGTTAAAATGTGTAATACACACGAATTATTTATCCCGGATTAGCCCACTGATTTTGTTTATTAAAAAATACTTTCATTTCCAGTAAAACTCACACTGAACTAAACTTGTTACACAGACCAAGTAGTATTCTTTTAAACTTCAAAATTAAACAATTATTTAATATCTATAGTTTATTGTTGACTTTACTGAAATGTCTTGGATTCATTTCCCTTCATACAGAATAAAACATTTTTTAATACCCCTTTATTAACCTGTTATCTGTGTTGTCTGTGCACCTTTAAATGTCGTGTTACAGTTCTTATTGACTGAATTGTCATGTGAGATTACTGTAACGTTATAAACAAAATTGGATCTGGCTGTTATAAAACTGCTACAATTACAAATGCTTTCATTTGTATTGATAAATACTAATGTCAATATGTTTATGAAGGTATTTGTCAGAGAGACACATTGTGATATTATTCAAGGTTTGGCCAATAAATGCCAATACAACTAACAGACAGCAAAAGAGACAAAGAAAGTGGAGAAACAAAGTGTCCAGTGCCCATGTAGCATGATTACCGAGTTGTGTGCGTGTGTCTGTGTGTGTGTGTTTGTTGTGTTTGTGTGGGAGAGAGAGACAGAGCGACAATGTGTGTTTACTAATACTTAATCTGATTTAATCTCCGTCAAGGCGCCCAAGAAGGGACCTATGATGTCATGAGCTCTGTCATTCTATGAAAATAAAGATCAGATTGAAGATGACCTAGGACAAAAAAAAAGCGACGTATTGCAGCAGCCACAACATTCTGCTGAATCCAGCAACATAAACATGTAAACATCCCTGTGCATTTACTGTATAAAAAGAACATATATTGTCACCATAAATCACTGTAGTAGAGGATCTACATCTGCACCCTCTGTTTTAAATTGCATAAGTGTTTGTGTGAAAACACATATTGTAATTGACCCAATAGAAAACTGATTGGGAAGAGAGAAAGTGATGTGGGGAGGCACAATGATGCCAGATGTTTTTTTAATGATCAGACAGACGTGAGGTTTAGAAAGAACTATCAGAATGTTATTTGATAAAGATTAGGAGAACATATACTCAATCAATCACTCTATGGTCCCTTCTGTTCGATCTGATCAAATCAGACATGGGACAAACTGTATCTGCAAATGCTTTCCTGGTTTGTTTTTATTTTATTATTTTATTTACAGCATGCATACTGGGGTTGCTGGTTGACTGGGGGTTTAAGCGCTGACCATGAACTGTAATTATCCTGCAAGAGACCTTTGTTGAATGTTCCTCTCCGTCTTAAATTCAAATAAGATGTATTGGCATTAATTAAGTTACTTTGATGCCAAAGTTTACATTATTATCATCTGTCTGTATCTCTCTGCTCATCTTTGTGGTATAGATTCTACAAAAAAAAGGCATAAAAATACATTTGGGATTGACAATGAATCGTTTGATGTTCAACAGTAATTGATATGATGTTAACTTGACTTTGTTTTTTAGTTAAAAGGGAATATCTGCAGAGTGAGGAGGGGGATCATCCTTAATTTGGACACATAAGAGCAAGCCTGTGTGTGTCGTTGCTAAAGCATTGCATATTAGTCCATTATTATTAATGGATGAGTATGTGGGGATGCAATACTGATCCTGAGCCACCAGTGGGCAGATAGAAACACTTTTTGGCATCCATCAGTGAGCCTGCATTTAAACATCCTCAGTTAAAGACTTGAAAGTTTTCATTCTAAACTGATGATTAGCTCGTCAGACGTCAGGTTGACCAGGGGCTACACACCTGGTCTCTGAGCGCCTATAATTACAAGCCAGGATTTAAAATCAGCAGCTGTGCAGACACTAAAAGAGCACGACTTCACACCTTAGGGTGTTTTACGACTTGAAAGATGCTAAACGGAGATGCCGAGAGAGAAATAATACCCGCTTACACATTTGGTTTTATAGAAATGCCTTTGAAGTAAAAAGATTTGTGTGAATTTGGAGTGTGCAACATGTTGAATTTAGTATTAATGATGTAAAAGTGTCATTTCACGTTTGTCTATTTCATTACTTAGTTTTTACACCTATTCCTAATAAATCATGGGAAGGGCATTACTAAACTATTCTGCTTGGAAAGCAAGAGTCCATCTCCCTGCCGGCTGCAATGATGACTCTCCATGTGTTGCCTGTGAAAGGCTGATCTTGATTTTTGCAGACGGAGCAGCAAAGTCAGGCTCAGTGTCTTGTAACAGGTTCCAGATTTTGTCATGGTCACACAAGGCCCAAATGTAATGCTCTGTGATTTTTAGGGGTAAGCGCATATTGGTTCAATGTGTGGGGTCTGCCATCTGCAGACTTACTTCAGGGGCCAACGCAGAAAAAACTAGATATCAAGCTCAAAGTGTACGCAGGTAAACAGACACACTCATGTGAAGAATACTGCTGAATCAGTTCAGCTGAGGGCCATTAGACCTACATCAGTTGTCATTATAGGGCCGCATGTAACAATTACCTTTATTATCGATTAATCTTCTGATTATTTCCTTGATTCGTTATTTGATCTAAATGCCCATCACAAGTTCCCAGAGCTCATGGGGACATCTTTAAATGTCCTGGCTGGTCCCACCAGCAATCCAAAGATATTCAGTTTACCTTCGTTTGAAATCATGAAACCTGAAAACATTTGCATTTGAGAAGCTGAAAATGTATCAATGCTATTTTTGCTTTAACATTTAAGAAAAACTATTTATAGATGATCAAAATAGCACATTCTTTTTCTGTCCATCAACTGTCAATCATTTCAGCTCTGCTATTTTCTATCATCTTAAAACACATCTTACTTAGATTGTATTCAAAAGGCAGATGGCGGCATGAAAATGTATGTTTAGATATATAGATAATGTAAGAAAATGACATGAGGAATGACTCGAGGTAAATCTGGTTGCACAACCGCGCTGTGTGTCCTGACAAAGTACAGACTCTTGGCTTGGAGGGGGGGGGGAAGGGATCAATAACTCATCACAAGTTGCGAATCTGCTTGGTCCAACAACCATTTGTCACAAACAAGAAAATGTCCGCCCATTTAATCAAGACAGCAATACTGAGGACAAAATGGGTAAGCTAATTAAGGAAATGAATGAAGAAAGCAAGGACGGCCAGGAAAAGGTTAGAGAGCTGTTAATGTTTACGTGTCGGGGCGTTTGTCAAACTGCGACTACCCATTGATTGGACGTGCTACAGCCCCTTCATTTGGGTGGGCTGCATAAATAGATGAAGGTATACAGAATAACAAAGGATGTTTTTTCAAGGGAGTGCGAGTGTGATCTCAAGCTCCATTATGTTTTTACATGCTCAACCTCTTGTGAACTCCCAGTAGCAACAAAGACACCTCAGGGACGCTTTGGCCTCATGACATCCTGAAACCCGAGGTGCAGAAACCCAGAATATAATACGTGGCAGAAAACATTTGTATGTGACAAGCACACAATTAGTGTAATGAAATGTCAGGTAGGATAGACTCCAGTGTAATCCATTCACTGTCATGTTCTGTAACAGGTTTCCCCCTGTGATACTGCAGCTGCTGCTTTGTATCGAGCTGAATCAATCCATTAATTTGCCGATTAACAAAAACAAAACAAAAATGGCAACAACTTTAATAACGGATTATGTCATTTTCCAAGCTGTAATACTAAACATTTACATTACCGTTTACCAAATACTTCAGTTCTTTGTGTTCCGTCAAAGTAAACTGAATATTATGAGGTTTTGGACTGTTGATTGAACAAACAAATGCAATTTAAAGACTTTAGAAAAATGTGAATGGACATTTTTATAACTTTTCTTGAATTGAATAGACTAAATGATTAATAAATAAAATCAGAAGATTAATTGATGATTGAAATAACGGCTTAGGCCCCTGCAAATATTAATAATAGTTATTCCTGTATGACCAATATAGTTATAGTTAGTCGTTATTTAGTCCAATTTGAAAAAGGACTCAACAGAAATATAAATATAGATAAATTGCACTGCACTTGAAGACAGACTATTTCCAGGAAATAATCATTTAAAAACCTAAAAGGCAAACAAAAAATATCTAATCAATTAATTTAATATAATAATAATCTGAAAATTGCAATACAGTTTAACATGTTGGCAATTATGAATTGTACATAGTCGATCCCCTAATCACCGACCAGTCCTCATTTTAAAAGCTTCATTCATAATCAGCACAGGAAAGCAATTGAGTAATTTTTCTACGCCTTCATCTTCACATATATTTGCATACTAAAGAAGGATGCAGGATAATTAATAGGGGAAACACACACGCTGCAGGTCAAAGCACTAGAACAAAGCCCATAGCTCAGGTAAATGTAATTAGAAATTATATAAAGTGTCTGCACAGACTGAGATTGATGTGTTCAGACAAAGACAAATAAACAGCCCAGTACTGCAGTCTCCTTCAGCCCTCCTTCCTTTTTCCATGTTTGCATGTTGAAGTTAAGCAATATCTGTTTCCAAATGTCACATTTCATAATGTTTCTTCCATTTTTTCCACTTCTATGTAAATTTGAGACCCACTGCACCCGATAGCACTTCATTAAAACTTTTTTTGCCACCTTGGGACTCATATCTTCTCCATTTCTATCCAATAAGTTGTTATACCTGTCCGTGTCCTTGTATAAGGGAGCATGGCCTTCTCATGCCTCCATGCCCCCCACCCCTTCTATTTTGGCATGCCTGTGCCAGGTATTTCTTCAAATTCCTCACACCCCGTGGGGATAGCTATGTCCCCCCCCCCCCCGTCCCCTTCAACCCGGTCCCTCTCTCATCTTTACAGCCTGTCTCTCTCTATCTCATGTACGCCAGCACATGT